GACCTGTGATCAGAATTCATTATAGCAAATTTGTATGTAGTGTTTTAAAGGCAAAAAATGATGGTGAATTAAATTTTTATAATAAATTATTACATTTTCAAATACTCAATTGCATTGGGCAGAAAATAGTAAGCACAGAAACAGAGTTAATAGCAACAAGGGCTAGAAAACGGCAAGGTATCACAGCTATCACAAATCCCAGAGACTGAAGGTAATTGACACTACTACATAGTAAAACAGAAGTGAAATATCCACAAAGTCTTTGTAATCATTTACACTGCTTCAGGTCTATAGGACAGTCAGTATAAAACACTAACAAAGTGATAGGTTATTACAATTGTTTTCTATAATAGAAAGTTACAATTTATTTTAAAAAATACACCCAAAATAGAATTTTCAAAATTTAGTCAGTTTTCAAGACATTTACAGTGATTTTGTTACACCACAGCAGACAATTACGTTCTAATGCTTACAATGAAACTGATGTGCTAGGAACCATAGAAGCTGAACAAAATAACAGACCAGTGATTGACTTTTGATGACCCTGATGACCACAGAAGAGGCAAAATGTATGGACAGGTTAAGTTTGTAACTGCGGAAGGTATTGCAATCAAAGTACTTTTGGAGAAAAAAGAAAAAAAATAAAGTTAAAATATACAATGATTTGTACCAGGAACGCCACCAGTATGGAATAAATAACCCAAACCCATGTGTACATGTACAACACACATTTTCAAGGAAAATGTTTCAAACTAGTCAATTCATTATGTGTAACGTTGCTCCCGTCTGAAGTGACAGGATTCTAAAATGTATAAAACAGTTTTTCAATTCATGTGATTTATATTAAAATGAATCTTCTTGCTCTTAACATTGAACATTTTAAAGCTATTGAAACTAAACTTGTTCTTTCATTGGCAAAGAAATTTATTATTTTTATGGCTAGAAAACGCCACAGTTTGGTTGAATCCTGAATAGGTATGAAAATTGTCAGAATGCTGAAGATCAAAAGTTTAATAAAAATTTAAAGTAGAAAGGAGAATGTCACAAAAATAATGAGATATTTTAACATCCATGGTTAAGTGAGATTCACTGTGTACATTTTTGTTAGCAGAACAACAGTCTTACTAACAGCATGAAAAAACAGTAATATTTGTAATATTTGCCAGCCTTTCGTTCAGCAGCAAAGAACATTTATTCACAGGACTAAAAATAATAAATCACACAGGTGGTAATGTGAGATCCTGTCACCATAAAAAATAGCTGTTCAAAACGTTCACAGCCTGAGCTGAAGGTAACTTAATATGCTCCATTTAACTGAGCAACAGTTATCTTCAGACAAACCAAACCAAACGAGAACTTCACTGTTTAGACCTTCCGTAAGATGCCACATTATTCTCAAAGATAACTGCAATGGTCAAGAGCCAGAAATAAGAAAAATGCATCTTCATCCTTGTATTAATTTACCTGTTTTATAGCTCCTATTTCTGAGAAATCCCAGTTATGTTTCATTCCTTATCAAGAGCATGAACTCATCGTTTAAGAATCCAGAAGGATTAAAGAAAAAATCTTGATAAGTGAATAAACTGAAGCAATAACCAGCACTGTCTGGCTTCTTGATCATTGCAAAGAAAGGAGAGAGAGATTACTTGCTAAGCAGCACAGACCAGCCTGCACCCTATGTTTAAACCAGTACTGAACTTACGATGAAAAAATGTAATAAACTTTGGGGAAAAAAAGTTACTTACCAGGAGCCAGAGCTCTTTGCAATGCATTGCATATGTGCACATTATCTCTACAGAGGTCCAAACATCAGATCAGGTACCCAAGATCATAACATGTTTTTTTGGGGCCCTCACGATACTGCAGGTGTGCGCTCAATTCTCCCCTTTTGTTTCATTTGGCAGTGAGTACAGCACTTACGTATTTTGTTGGCTACACATAGCAAGGGAGAGGGTGTATGGTTATCGCACACGTGGACAACAAAAGCAACTGGAGTCTCTTCAATATAAGAAGTTTTTCTTTATGTGCATATATATGGGGCCACACAACCCGTAATTAACTGTCCCCACATGCTCAGAACAAGGTGGCTGGCAGACACTTCTTGGCAATTTGGTTGAAGATTTCTTGAACTCACTGTCCTTTTGGCAATGATGCGTACAGGTGTTATTGAGCAAAGCCCCTAATGTAGTTTGAGATATCCCGATTGCTGATGGTGACATGACCTTACTGTTCTCACATTGAAGTAATCACGTCTGTTACCGGGTTTGGAGATGGCTGTCCTGTTCAGTCTCTCACCTGGTCAAGATAACTAGATTCAAGATACCTGACAGTCTCTCGTCACACGCAAGCAAGATGACTGATGATAATCCCTTGCTACCCAACATGTGATGGAAGGGTAGACTCAGATCTGGAGACAGGATTTAAGAAGAAAAACATAAAGGGGTTGAATTCCTGATTTCAGTTATTTATAAAAAATCCCAGATGAAGCCCTGGAATTCACCAGGAATACATCAATAAGAGATGTGGAAGGGGAAAAAGTCAGCCACTGGGATCTGGATCTGCTGCTGCCAGCCAGAGATGACAGGCATCAAAAAAGAACAGCAAGGGCACATGTAAAACACCTGAAAGTGATGTAAAACATGACTGGGGTTCTGGTGCTTTTGAGGTAAGACAGCCTAAGGAACCAGTAATCAGTGGTGCTGGCAGTCCACATTTTGGTGAAGTTGGCTAACTTGTCTACGAGGCCACACTGGGCCACGAAGAGGAAGCAATAAAGGAAATCCAGAGAAAATAGGGTTCTGTGGCCATGTTCTCCAAAACACTGCTCTGTCAAAGATATACACGATGAGGAATTCAATCCCTTAACATTTACACCTGTATGAACACTGGTGTTTTCTCAGCTGTTTCTGCAGCTAGACAGTATCATGGAAGAAGCCACATCAGCCAAATCTTTTGGGCAGCGGTAAACAAGAAACTGCTTATCATGCCTGAGGCTCAAGCTCTGGAGTAAAAAATATCTGCAAAGATGTGAGAGATATTTGCACAGTCTGCTGCATTTAGAAGGAAAACAAGCTTTTATTTCCATCTTGCTGTTATCTGGGTTACACAAAGCTGGAGAAAACTGGCATAGAATGCTTCCAAGATTTGGGATGCCCAGGAAAACACCTCCAAAATCACAGAATCACAGAATTTCTAGGTTGGAAGAGACCTCAAGATCATCAAGTCCAACCTCTGACCTAATGCTAACAGTCCCCACTAAATGTTCAGGAGTAAACTCCTGTCAGCTTCCTTAAAAGGTTTAACAGAGGTAAATCTCCAGGAGTGGGTTAGGGATAACATGGGGCTGGAAAACAGGGTCCAAATTTCTACGAGCTGAACTGAAGAATGATGTATGTCCCATTTGCACCTTGGTCCTACAGATGGCAAGATGAGCCCGTTACCACTGGGACGAGAACAAGCGCAGCACATTGGCAGCAATTGTTCACATAGACAGTGAGGCAGGTTTCCTGGGATACAGAAAAGATGTCTTCCTTCTTCATGAACTCCAGGGAACACGAATGAAGAGCCTAATCCTGCGCCTGTGAAGGGTGAAACGTGGGAAGGGTGAGGCACCACGGCCAGCTCCAGCACTGAAGGCTGTCCCCCAGGAAGTCATTACGTGCCAAGTTAGAGCAGGGGAGATGGTTCCACCCACATCAGGGGTCCTCAGCACCAAGCGTTAGGGTCTGTGGTACTGTATCTGGCTGATCCTGTAGAACAGCCTCTGGTTATAGAGCTTGGGCAGAGGAAGAGCCAAACAAACCGGTTAGTGGAATTAAAAAGACCACAATAATCCAGTGTCAGTGACTGCTCTCTGATGCTTTTTGGATGGTTGAGATCCTCAGGTGCTGGGAAAAAACACAGAACTCACCCAAGCCTCATCTAGTAGTCCTTCAATGGAGTGGCCTTGGAGCGGCTGGTACAGGCTGGGCAAAGGGGAAGATCCCCTTTAAGGCTAAGCAACTGGGTGAGGCTCTTCTTCACCCAGTGCTGCCAGAGAAAGAAAAGTTCTGGGTAAATAGAACTGGGCCTTGATCCAAGATTTAGATAATCCCGAGTGTCAGCAGTAGACCATCACTTTCACTAGGATCCTTCTCTAATTTTAAGCAACGGCTATTAAATGTGCTAGGGATGTACAGCTTCCTGCAGCCAAAGGAAGCAAGGAGCAACCATACGTTAGAGCATTACGTGGCAATGAGGCACATGCCTCGAGAGAGAAAAGCATTTGAATCCACCCTTAGATGGAGCCAGATTCACTCAACATACATGTATATAAAGCATCTAGACCCATTTCTACCAAGGAAAGGAAAAGCAGCAGAGGCCAGGCTCCTACGAGGAGGGAGCCTGTTATTTTTGAATTTGTCTAATTCAAATTTAAAAAATAATCATATGAGACTGGTTGGAAAAAGATAGCTAGACAGCTAAAGGCTAACAACAAAAAATAATTTCCAAATCCTATGCAAGAATAATGACATGAACACGTGCACAGAACTCTAAACACAATTCGTTTCTTAGAGTGATGGCTGAAATAAAGTTAAGAGACATCTTGAATGCCTCCATCCTCGTGTGCTGAGTATGAAAGGGGGTGGGCTAGTGTGAAAAAGCTTCAACTTGTGAGACCAGTAAAAGCAGGAGGCTACTTTTTGAATACCTGCAGTAAACACTTCATAGTTTTTCATACTATAAAACAACTGATATCTACCGATGCATAATACTACAGCACAGTATTCCTCGCATCTACACAGCAGTCAGTACCGACCCTTTGCAGCTTCACTTTCAATTAACTGCATCAAAATGTCAGCAGAATATTTTTAAAATGTGAAATTCCTCTACCTTCCCTTCACTTGTAATGATATACACTGTTTCATTCAACAAGAAATTGATTTTTCTTCAAAACAGCAAAACCCTACGTTTGGTTATAAGGGTCTCATTTCCATGGAGATACTGGCCTTTTCGAGATGTTTGATCACGTATTTTCCATTTATTCAGTGAGAAAGAACTAGCAGCAAAACACTGAAAACACAGCTCAGAGAGGAAAGTTAATTTATTTGTCTAAAACATCAAACTAAGTTGAGATACCTTAGTTCAGTCAAAGCTTCTTCAATTTCTTCACAAGCCTGGACTTCATAAACAAATATTCCAAGTTCATCTATCTACAAAAATAGGAGGGACAATTCTTGACTTTCTTCAGATATCAAGTTAATTTACAAGTCCTTGAAGATCAGATGAAAAATAGGAAGCGATCCTATATTCCTTAAGACACTCCACCACATTTCCCAAGTGTACTGGAAAGGAGGAATATTCGCCTTCTTTGGATAGGTGCATGTGAAGGCTTATTGCCATCTCTTGGAGACAGGGTATGCATTTACATCACCATGACTGCCATGGTGCAGAATCCTTGACTGCTACTTTTATACGGCGTGACCAATTATTTGAGAGTTATAGTCCGCTGTCTCCATGCGCAGGATATATGGGATGATGCTATCAATCTGAACGTTTCCGATTAGTCCTGCAAAGAACAGCTCCTCGGTGATGGCAGCACTCATCAGCCTAAGAGCAGGCAATCGGAGAAGGAGTCTAGACAGTCTGGAAAGTAAGTTTAGTAAAAAGTGTTACTTGGTCACACAGTTCAGTGTTGTTCAAGTATCAGTAGCAGAAAAAAATAACAAGGAACAATACTGGTCAAAGTTTGCCATATCTAGTTCATGAAAGGCTTAGATATCTAAGTCAGTGGAGTATATAGTTAGTCATGCCTTCAGTAGTACAAAAAATGCAAATATGTAAGTCTATGTGCATGGACTCTACAATGTTTGGACTTAGACTAAATGAGGAAATACTCTACATAGGTGCAATTCAAAATGAAAAAAAAATACTTCATTAATTTTATTTCCAATATTTCATTTTGGAAATTAATAATGATTAAGTAGATAAATTATATTCATAATATGCATGAATATATACATAGTATTTTAAGTGCTCTAAAGGTAATTTCTTATCTTTAAGAAGGTAAGAATAAAATGCACATATTTGTTACAAGAAATACTGTACGTATCAGTATCATTGGTGCTCTGAAAAGAGAATCAATCAATTAAGCATGTAAGTTTACACACCTGTACGTATCATCTGGATATGCTTTTGTTACATAGTCTTGGAACTCCATGTAAGCCTTTTCTTGAAATTTCTCAATCTGTACCACATTTTCTAGACCTGGATGATCTGAAAGACACCCTATATTGTTATATCTGTTCTATATAAGGTGCATTCAAATCCCTACAGATTATCTACTTGTAAGCATGCTGAAATGATTATTTGATAGCTGTAGCAACTTCAAGCTTTCCAACAGTTTTAATGAAGGATGCTGCTTTACCTCTTTTTTTTTTTTCCTTTACATTGGTGCTTTCCTTCATTGTTTATAATACAACCAGACATTCCAAAGAGTTCAAATAAATGCAGTACTTTACATCATTCCTGATGATATACCTCTGTTCTCTGTGTTGCATGGAACAGTATTGTTCCAATACACTGATATTTATTGGAATATTGTATGCATAAATAGCATTTGTGGAAAAAGAAAATAATAGCATCAGTCAAAAAAGCAAATAAAAAACTATGAACTATTTGCTTCCTAAACCTGTAGAATCATAGAATGGCATGGGTTGGAAGGGACCTCAATGATCATCTAGTTCCAATCCCCCTGACATAGCTTACCTAAAATATACCCTTGCAGAAAACACAGAAAATTCTTTTAAAGGTTGGATCAGATGATCTTAGAGGTCTTTTCCAACTGAAATGATTCTATGAATTTTTAAACTAAGTTTTAACACCTTAAGTCTCTCTAGTTGTAGAAAAAGAATAAATGTTTACATTAAGAATAATTACATACCAGGACTGAAGAGTACGATTGCTTTCAAATATGCATATTCATATCCATCCAGGCAAAGCTTAACCATGCTGTTACAGAACTCTTGCAATTTGAAGATATGCTCCATTACTAGTTTTCCTCTGTCTGTTGGCAGCTTATCTGAGTTGACACATACAGAAAATATAAAAACCCTAACGTCAACACACGTGCAAAAATGTAGTCACACTGGATTTTTAAAAACATTAATCATTTGTATTAGATCAAACAGTGGGGAATCTATGCCATCTATAAACTCATGTACTAGATCTGAATAATCTTTACACCAACAGTTCCTGTCACTGAAGTTTCCAATAATCAGAGTTGGACTCAAGGTTGGAATATTCAAGGAAAGACTATTTATAACTAAAGACAACATTGCTATTGCAGATCTACACTGTATATCTAAGAGTCAGGTGCAGTATTTATATTTACTGATGGGTTACTTTAGTCAGTCAAAGACTGTGCCACTGCATCTAGGGGAATGTGGTTGGTGCAGAGCTATTCCCCTTTGGTTACTGGAAGACATTGGATATAAATTTCTGATCTGTACACTCAAACTGAATTCCCAAATTAATAAGAATATACATTTGTAGTAATGATAAAACCATCATTAATTATTAAAGTTTTTGGTGAACACGCTTATAAATTATGTAGATTGATGTAAGGCCCCAGTCCATTTCCCTCCTAAAGATATTCACAATTTGTTCATATTTATCTGATCCGTTATGTTTAGTGGTTTAATCAATTTATTTTTATTACAAACTATTGTTTATTTAAATCAGGATCTCACGGATATTTTTTTAAACCTGAAAACCCCTAAGAATGAACTCTTTAATCTCTTCCTCATAAAAGGAGAAGACAAACTTATAATTTAGAGAGCTATTTTTCTATGGTTTACCAATCTCTTTTTGCATCGCATTAAAGAGAGTAACAGCAAATAATCCTAACTCTAGTTAAACCTGAAAATGCTAACATTTTTGTATGTACATCTAACTTAAAAAATGTGGTAGACTATGAACAGATAAAGATTTTTTATTTTTATTTTAACTGAAAGACTCCCTTACTTCAGTTTGAGTATCACTCAGAAGAACATTTCCTTCATTGTAGAGTAAATGAAAGAGAAGGCCAACTTCATTTAATGTAAAACATGCAAAAGATGCAGGACATAGGATAAAAAGGAAGGAAGCATACTTATTGCAAATCTGCTTGGAAGACTTGTATGGAGTCTAAAACTAATATACAAGCCAAGTTATGTACAGGAAGTACATCACGAAGGTGGCATTCGGCTGCTTTGTTTCACAGCTATGAACAGCAAGACCAGTTGGGTTCTTCTTTACACCCTTGATAGAGAGGAATCATATTCACAGTATACTTGTGTTCTTAAAGTTGAGGCTGCCTGAAATATTCCTATTTTGAGCTGAGGTACACCAACAGAACAGCAGAACACTATTAGAGTTCACACAGATATCAAACACGATTTAAAAACAAAACAAACAGTAAAAGCAAACCTGCATCAGAAAGATGGGCAAATTTATATATTTATTTATTTATTTATTTTTCTTTCTTTCTTTCTTTTCATTTTGGGGAAAGGAAGCATTAGCATAGCTGACAGCTGACTTCAGAAAAATTGCCCTAAATTTCCATCCTGTTAACTGTATTTTCTCGTATTATTTTGTGTCAATACCAATTGTTAAATTCTATGAACAGGAATTTTTCATTAACAATTGTCAAAACTTTAAAACCATTATGTAATTCCCCAAGTCTGCAAACGTGCACAATATTCACCTTACCTTGCTGTAAACTGCTGTGAAGATGATTAACGAACGCAGTTAACATAGTCGCCACATTCATAACTTGTGAACACTGTGCAAGACCAAGCGTAAAAAGTTCGTTCCAGCAGGCTTTTACTAATGATATGCTGTTATCCTGTCTATTAAAGAAAAAAAAAAACAAAAAACAAAAAAACACATTGATTTCACTCAATAAAACCAGCCACTTGGCTTTACAGTTTTTTAATTTGAAGAACACTTCATAAAACATCCATCTAACTCAATCACTGCAGCCAGTACCAGAATAAATTATAACACTAAATTAATTAAAACGCTAGGATTAAAACACATTTTAAAGTGACATTTGTGAAGAAATCATTTTTGATTTATTGATCAAAAATGCAACAGATCTCTAACAGAAAAACAAGCTGAAGTTACAGTAAATGACAACTGTCTAGGTATATTCTATCATTTCCATCATGCTAGTTTTCCTAGGATTCACACTCATTTTTAGGTAAGATTTATATGCATGGGCAAAATCAAAGTTTGCATTGTTGCTGTGTTCTGGTTGTAGAATAGACTCAAAAGTCTTTTTTTTTTTTTTAATTTATTTTTTATTTCTATTTTTAACTTGAAATCTGACAGCTTGGTGCAATTTCTAAGTTAAAAGTACATATGAAATGGAACATGTGAGACCAAGTTCCTGAGCTTCCTGACTTACATTTTTTGTATCCTTTTCATGTTTGGAATTGAGTTTAAAATACAGACTTCAAAGTATAAACAGAAGTCACGAGGATTTGTTTGTTGTAAGAATTAGTCCTCATATTAAGTTTCATTTTTAGCCATTTTAATATATTTTTTAATGCTGAAGCTTAAAATTAGGCCTATTAATACTCAGCCCTTCCATATTAGTAACCTAACTTTTAGCGATGCCAAGCATCTCTAGCTTGTAGAACTCAACAGGAGCTCAGTACCTTATAAAAAGGAGATCCTACCACTGAGGAGTCAAATTCAGGTACCAGTTTTAGCCAGTAAATATAAATAATGGAAAGTTAAAAGAACCACATGACCACATGAAAGTTAACCGTAGGATTTTCAAAGAAAACCATATTAAAGCTAATCCATTACTTTACGGATGATCAAACTTATACCAGAATTAGCTGATCACACTTAAGTAGCCTCAAAAAACTAAGTGGCTGTAACCAGCCTGATTAGCATTTCAGTAGGAATCCTTGTGCACGAAAATGTACTAAGCAACATCTTGATATCACTATCTAAATTAGTATGTCTGAGCCAACTACCTTGCCGAGACTAAGGAGAACAGTGCTTGGGGAGGAAACCACTTGGATACAATTATCTTACAAAACAATTAGCGCTTTGCTTTGGCTCATCAACTCCTCTCAACTGCTAACACCATGAATTTCTCTTTATTTTAAAATTGAAATATGAGTCACCCTTCTAAAAGTTAAAATTATACAGCACATAATGTTCTCAACTTTAGAAAGCTTCATTAATATATCAGATAAGCCCGTGATCTTGACTGGGACTGCAAATGTTAGCACAGGTGAGTATTAACAACTTTCAGAAAGCCTACTCCTGCATTTTCTTACTCGAACTGACAAATACATCGGGAAGTAACATATTTCCAAAATAAATGCAGATTTTCTATACACGTCTTGTTAAATCTTTTTAGATAGGCAGGTCTTTTGTAGATTTTATTTTAAGACAACAATTCCCATTTGTTGTTATAACACTACTTTGCATTGTCTCTCTGTTGCAAAAACTTTTTAAATGTACAATGACACAGTTCACTATGTTAATTCGCTAAGTATTTTGAAATCCTGCAGGACAACAATTTCTACTAAAATATCACATTTACCCACTTTCCCCTCCTTGCTATTTAACAGTGTTTATTCACAACATGAGCAAAGAAGAGTAATTGAACACTTACCCTAAAGCTTGGAAACACGGAATGGAACGCGCCCAGTGCATGGACAAGAACAGCAGCCTGGAGGCAGACTCGCAGATATAGTGAACGTTAAGATACTCAGGCATAGGAGAAGGCATGGTGAGCTACCAGAAAATAAAATAAATAAATAAATAAATAAATAAGTGCAAGTCAATTATTTTTTTTTCCATATAAAACATAATATGAAAAATAACTTTCAAGGCTTAAGAGAAGCAAGTAACATTATTTTTAAACTAAACTTGAGATAAGCCTGAAATAAAATTGAATGACTGTTTTTTGGCTTACTAGCCACACTGTGTATATCCCACAGTGACTACAAAGCAACAAAAATAATAATCATTTTGAATCTTAGTTTAGATAAAGATTTACGTCTGGGAACCCTAGGGATTAAAAGTCACAAATCAATCTCATCTTTGGAGGCATTATGTAAAGAATAGAAGTTTTGGAAGAACCACTGTAATTAGAATGATGCTGCTTGTGCTGACATACAGATAAATATGTAACTTTTCACCCATGTATGAAAAGAAATTGGGAACTGACCTGAAATTCCTAATTACAGCATATTAGTTTTATCCTCAGAAATCAATATTTTGTAATAAAATGGTTTGGCTAAGATAATTTAAAACAAAACTGACATTTACATTAGAGATATGTTTATTTTAGTAACCAAACTGTGCCGTTGCGAGTGGCAACATTTAATGAAAACTAAAAGATGAGCAAGACTTTTGATTTGTCCATGAATAACACTATGACGAAGAAAAAAAAAAAAGAAAGAAAAAAAAGGTAATTTTTACATGCTCATAAAAGGAGAAATGAAGTCAGAAAATATTTGCCTCTCTAAAAAAGCAACTGTATTTTCCCTTAGCTGTTAAAGTTTTCCATGTAAATCCCTTTGCTCTGATTACCTACTACTTTTAAGGTAAAAAACAGTACAATAAACAGTGTAAATAAACAACTGAGAGCAGTTAATTTTCCCAAGCAAACAGCTACCAGTGGACAAAAGCAGTGCATTCATCAGAAATGAATGCTGATACCTGAATAATTACTCTTCAAAGAGATTCAAAAGAAAGTATAATCAGATCATTAATTGTACCACCAAATAAAAAAATTAAAATGTTTATAAACAGCCAACAATAAAAGAGTATTAAGTACCCTGAATGCTACATGGGCATCACTGAGCAGTGGCCCCTCTATTTCAACGAGATTCATGCTTGTTTCTCCCCCGATCAGCTGGACGCTGCCTTCAACACTGTCAGAGTTCTGGCACGCTGCGCTCTCTCCTGGGTTTAATGCTTTTGCAAGGGTATCAAAGGCCCTGTGTGATCAAGAAAAAATAATAAAAAAAATCATCTTAAGAGACTATTTCATTTTAGGAGGAATCTGCACATGTCTGAAACCTGTATTCTGATGTCTGTTTCAAATAACAAAAGAAAGAAAAAAACACAAAAAAACAAAAAGCAAAGACTTGAAAAATAAAAGTCATTAACATGCTTTTTCTGCCACTCTACAAAATAAAATCCCTGATAACTGAAACTTAGTGTCTCTGAAGCAAAAAATTAGCAGCAGATCCTGTTCGCACTAGTTGCCAACAGATTCACAGTTTTGACATACTGATTGTGCTGCTGAATCACAGTTTGCCTTTCAAGATCTCTTTAGTGATGTTTACTGAGAGTGCTGGCATAAGCATTTTGAGCACATGATAATCAGGCTGCTGTTAAAACAACTTACTGCACGTGTAAATTTTACAGATTTTTGCTGCTAAAAAGCACAAACAGAAGGAATAAGCTTCTGTAAGCTATGAATTGTGGTTAGTTTATTCAACTTAATTTGAGAAGAGAGCTTCTAAATATGTAAGAGAAAGCACTCACATGCTTTCAATACCATCCTTAGAATCCCTTGAGGTGGGGCAGCGACTCCTGTGAAGACCAAGGCATGCGCACTAACATTACTGGGGAGATGCCAGGAGGAGCACAGATGTATTACTCTTTATTTTCCTGCTTGATAACACATCCATTGTGTGCACGAACACACCTGAGAACCAAAACTGATACATCTACAGTCACAAATATACAGACTCGATTACTGCCTACAGACAGATGACATATCCTGAGAGCAGTATCATTTGTACAGTCACATGAAAAACTCACGCAGAGATCTGAAAATTTTACAGAAGCTGATTACGTGGACATGATTCTCTATTTGTTCAGATGTTTACTGCCATGATATCTAAAATTACTGATCTAATATCCAAGTCTGAAGTAGAACTCTACCTACCTTTTTTTCCATACTCCTTTGCTACCTACATATATTAATATATTTAAAAAAAACACGACCCTAAGTGCATACGGTGTACAACATAACCATTTAGAACCAAAAGAAACAACACAATAAACTAGCTGCTTACACTGCCTTAGGCTTCAGATGGTGAATTAGCTAGAACAGTTTTTGATCCTAGCCTAGGATCTAGCCTGCACACCTTTTTGTGTACACAGGAGGGTGACTGGGGAGTGCACAAGTGGACTACACAGATGTACCTGGCAAGTTTTCTGTCTCGCATGTATGGAAAGTGAGCAGAAACACAGTGCACTCATGGGCAAGTTCTGAAGTTATCTTATCCTTCTCCAGCTAGGAAATCTGAGTTTCAGGCCCTATGTGGCTTCCTCTTAGTCATTTTAGGTATAATAAGGCAAAATCGGTAGCTCAATAGCAGCTGCTTAGGAAAATACGGATCTTTTCAGAGCTCTTGCATGTAGCAGGGACAGAAATGTAAGCCAGGAACAAGATCTCTCCTTTCTCCAGCAGGTAAGGCTATATGCCTCTGCTATAACTCTGTTTTTATTCTAGCTTAGGTTGCAGCAGTCCTTTTCACATAATGTTGGGCAGATACCCTGCTAACCATGTCTGCTCATGGTACTTTGTTTCCAACTTACTCTTGGATGTCTGCTTTCAAATAAATCTTCTGCCTCCTATATTATAAATTTGCAGAAGAAAGCTTGCAAAAGTAAGCAGAAGGTTTGCTTTTTAATGGCTCTACACTGTAGGTCCTTTTCATGTATTGTGTCTCAACATGAGCAATGGTTGCAAGTTAAAACACTAAGGAAAAGAGAATCCAGACCAGAGCTTGCCTTGAAGTTACAAAAACCAGCTCACAAAGTAAGAAAAAATGTATTATCAACATTAAATACATCGTATTGATACCCTTTGTTAGAAACAACTTTGGTTCTCTTTTCGTCGAGCTCAGCCACTAACAGATATATAACAGGACTCCTGATTAGCTGTAAAATATGAACATAGATAATGAAGCCATTAGAGGACAAAGCATGTAACATTACAATATAAAAGCAGCGGAATACTAGCAACAAAGTTATACGTTAAGCCTGTGTCAGCAAAATTGAAAGCTTAACTACTGTAGCTGCAAGCAATGGAATATAACAAAATGCATGATAACCCCTGATAGACAAAACCTGCTCCTTGACACCTCTTAAGATCATTTTCTTCAGTGAACAACTGTGTCCATACGATCAAGCTGGCACAAGGTTTGGCATGGAAATCAAAGATTTCAACAGAACTGTTAGTTTTCTGTTTGAGTAACAACTTCCCTTTCACAGGAATATTTTCTGTGAAACTCCTTATTGGGGATCTGTTAGGTGACCTAATAGACATGGGTACACGTTAACCTGAGCCAGAGCTCTTTCAAGCTCACTGGCTGAGAACTTGATGGATTTCTGTAGACAGATTTTAAAACTGAGCAGAAGCACTGAAGTTGGCAAAAGCAAGCATTTGAAAGTGCCAGGAAACAAACAAACAGCTAATCATGCAACCTTATTACTGCATCTTACTGAACAGCCGTATTACTGACTGATGTTTATCTGCACATACAACAACACTCCTTACACTTCGTGTTCTTTACCTAGGAGAACACAGCAGAGGTCCAAATCAGCACCTATATTAAAGGTCACACTGACTTTCTAAGTAGCACATATGAAGAAATGCAGAACAAATGCATTCTGCTTGCAATTATACTGAGTAGTAGAGTGGAGTATTGGGGAAATCATGTATTTGAGTCAGTACAAACTACTTTACTATGTACCAATCTTTTTTTCTTGATCAATTTACTCTACGTATGTATTTTCAAAACAGCGTGTATAATATAGATGGAGTGTAAAGAAATATTGTTGGGACAATTGTCAGAAGCCTGCATGGAATGGCAATCAAGGAAGAACGTGATTCTGATTGAAGGAGTAACTAAGTACTACAGAGAATACCTCACACGTATGCTCACCAAAATGGCCCAGTTAAAACCAGTGCAGGACACAAGTTCGTAAGATATATAACGAATGCATTTGTACTGACAGTGAGCATTCTTTGAGTTCTCCCATCTGGAAAGAAAATGCTTTTCAAGCTTTTAAGGCAATCAGCAGCTATGGGCATTGAACTACTTACACAGATGAAATCTTTAAGAAACAGTTTTCCAGGATGATACAAAGTACTATGAATATAGTAGAAGATCTAACACACATTGTTAAGGACAAACAAAAAGTATGAAAATCAGCTGATTTACACTGAAATTAATTCCAAGAACAAACAACTGTGAATATTTATTTCTCAAACCAAACTTATGATTTAATTTGGAATAATCTTACAAGATTGCTCTTCAACATGAACTCATGCTCTTACTACTATTATTTTAGATGCAGATAAATTACTTACATTGTGATGACTTAATTAATGCTCTGAATGAACAGAGACATTCTTGAGAAGTACAATATTTTCAAGCATAATGTGCCTTACCTTGTAACATCACTACTAGCTTGTTCTTCTTGCTGGAGTTCAGATAATGACGCATCTCCATTACTTAAACTCTCAATCATAGATAGCTCTGTACTGCTTTGTGACATGTCTTTGGATTTACCGAGGTTTGCTAATGATGTCACCACGTTTGCCAGTGTACTTAAATCTCCCTGACAGGCTTCAACCTAAGGGAAAATTATAGCTTTTAATTCTTTCATATTGGCAGCAGATAACTTGTAATATAAGAATCTAACTTCTACAGTAATGAACTGAGCTTGTGAATAGACCTGTAAGAAAATTATTGTATTCATTAAATGCATAATCATAATGTAGTAATTAGACCCTGCACTGCTTCTAAAATATGAAATATTTGGACACTTACTTTACAAGTAATAGCTATCTATTTCTTTCAGAAGGAATGCTACAGATGGCAAGCAAGCGCAGGCAGAAGTTTCAGCATATCCACTCACTAGTCACTAACTGGGACTGTAAAACTAAACTAGATTGCATTTTTATCATCTTTCTTTCTTCCTTCCTTCCTTCCTTCCTTCCTTCCTTCCTTCCTTCCTTCCTTCCTTCCTCATGTAAATGATAGCATAGCAATAGGAGAAAGTTTGAAGGGGAGGAACATACAAAAAGTCACCTTTAAGCAAGCAAGAAAATAACTCTGCTGCAGCCTTTTTGTTAGAACTTTATTTAATTGCAGGGGAACAAGCTGTTTCAGTAGTTACCAGTACTTCAAGCAGGCAGTTAAGCCATATTTCCTACCCTACTCCACAATAAATAAATAAATAAAAAGGAAAACGCACGTTCACAGGCAAGTAAGCTGCTACTAAAACCAACATGCTACATGTCACTTAACTCAGTTATACAAGTAGTGTCAGAAAAATGAAATGGAAGAAACATTTGATGAGGCCTTTTGCAGACAGAGTGAGGAAAAATGCACATAAACAGTGTGAGGTAATTTAATATCAGCTAGAAAAATACAGAAGCTTCCCACTGTGCATGTGTAGGGACATTATCACATCAATTTAGTGGATTAGTATGCGTAACAAAATGGAAACAAATGAAAACCAGCTCATAAACATATCAGAAACAAAAACTGTTTCTCAGCGCTTATTAGATTTGAAAAAATATTAGCAATAAAGGGAAAAAAAAAAACAACTAAGTGTTTTTGAAATGAACTGTGATAACACCATAGCCATATAAAGTTTTACAAACACCTCACTGTACTGGAACAAAAGCAATCTCTAAGTGTCAGGATTACCACAGACAAAGTAAAATAAGGTGGCCTTCAAGGCTCTCCAAGAATGGGGGAGGAAGGCATTTACTTTGCAGTTTTTAGCATTTTTACTATGCAGGGCTAAAAGAATTCTCCTGAAGAGAAGGCATCTACAACACCGGGCAATATTGTAAATGAATGTTTTAAACATGAATTTATTAAAACAAAGGTACAACAAAACAGAACAACCTTCCATCCCTACATACACCATTATAGTAAACAAAAAGTATATGAATCAGCACTTTATATAGCAGTCATATCATCATATACCTTATCTGGAGTCATCAACACAGTAGGCTCACTTTTTATCCCAGACTGATGAATGTTAACAAACATTCCTGATTCCAGCAGACCTGTCGACCTGACACAAAACAGCACACATTTTAGTTTTGGGGTGATTTCCTGAAACAGAGACAGCTGCTTTTGGAGTAGAATATACGTACCTTGCTGTTTCATTGTCTGTTACAAAAGTTGGAGTTGCAGCTAATGGACTGCGAAGATCTTTCCGAATGTAGATCTTTTCAGTAGAAGCTGCACAGTTTGAAGACTTTTCTCTTGACACTTCAATAGGTTTCCTCTCACACTGCACAGCTAATAAAACAGTATGAAACTATTATGTCACATCACAAATCACAGTCTAAGAAACAATCCTTTTTTTCTTGACTTACTCTTCAATTTTAATAATGATTCTGAGTATGTACAGAGATTGTAACTTAGAATATATATATAACCAGTAAACTAATATCTTGAGTAAAAAACAACAAACACACTTGTTTTGTTCTTAATGAAATGATGTAGTAGTCGAAGTCTGAGATCAAATGTACACAATCTGAATAATTTTTCAAGTTACAGTTAAGACAGAAATCCCCTTATACCTTGTTTAGTTTGGGTCTTTAAGGGGAGGCTTACTGCTTCTCTCTCAATTTCACTAGCCACACTCTCAGTTCATTTTTAAAGGACAGCAGGTCATTGAACCACATGACTTCATACACTTAAGGAAGCTTTCCAAGGTAGGAGCTTAGAAAATAGAGAGGGAAAGGGACATTTGCCAAGCTCAGTTCAGACCATTCAAGATCTGGGTGAGATCTTTACCCAAAATCAATTATGTAATAAAACAAGCAGATTTTTAATTTGAATAGCTCAGTGAAATTAGGTGTAATGAATCTGTGTTTTATCCCATAGAAACATCACCTTGTCTTGGATGAATTAGAGAATATTAAAGTGAAACTTAAAGTATAATACCCCATGGTGATTTATCCAGCTCTCAGGAATAAAGCCAAACTTGTAAAATCAAACTGTAAACTCAATAAAAGGAAAACCAATTTTCTGGAAAAATAACAAACAGTAATGCAATGTTGTTAGTGTAAAATTTAATTAATAAAAGGTATTTCCAAAGTAACTATTTAAAAAAAAAAAAAAAGGATTTTTTCTTCTACAATTATAAAATTGTACAAGTCATTTTATAGAATGGATTATGATCCCGGAACAGTTATAAACCCAATCTGCACATAATTTAAAATGTGCATCAATTCACCAACTTCATAAGCACTGGCTACTGGCTAGCAGAGCCTCTTTAACATTGTATTGCACACAGAAACAGTTTAAGCCTATGGAGAGAACCCTGAACGTTGATTATTTTTTAAAACAAAGTAAAAACAAAACAAAACAAAACAAAAAAACTTTATTCTGTTATGCTGTTAATGGAAAATGTATAATGAAGAAAAAAAAACCTTTGAAGTTAGTAGTAGACTATGATACTATTTCAATTTTTGTAGTGATAATTATTACAAAAACAACGATCACAGTATCATCAAGTATTGAAGTATTGTCAATGCCATTAAACCTACCCTGTAATACACGAATGGTGCTTTGAAAGGGTGGGCAAAAATCTTGCTCTTCCTTTGCTACCCCTGTACTCCCTACCTGGATCCAAGTTTGCTGAAAAGGGGCCAAGACTTCTTCAAGGGACAAATAACCACTCTGAGGAAGCTCCAGCTCCAGACAGTACAGTTTTCTTTCCTAGAGTTTTCTTTCCTCTCCCTATTCCACTGAAAAACGAAACTTCTTGTCCCAGAACAATCCTTTCCTCCACGCAGTCTTCCCCCAGGACCCAGAGTTCCCTTTTCTGCCTTCTGACCCCTAGCCCCAGCTATTTTGTGCTGTGGAGGGACAAAGTCCTGCCAGCTGAACTCGAGTGTAACGGGAAGATCCACTTCATGCCCTCAGCTTTTCCTCTCTTTCTGAATTCAATTCCCCTGTGCTGGAAAAACATTACTGGCTTCTGCTGGTAGATGGGGGGCTGGAAGGACAACGTCCACAGAGGTTCAGAAGGGTCAGCAAAATACAGCCAGATAGCACAGAACAGAGGACAGCACTAATACCGTGAGTACAGCAGCAGTGTGGCAGTATTTGCACTGAAGTATTCTTGTATTGCTTTTCTTCTGGTGTTTTTAGTATTCTGATACGACAGTGGTGTTAAGGTATCACTATGTCCAGCGTAAGGAAACCTAAAAAGTAACTTGAAATCTGTAGGAATTGGTAAGAACTGCACTCTAGATCACTATGGATCTCTGTCTTGTGAGTAAGGGTCTCTGCAGAGCTTTGCCAGTAACCTAAGTTGTGGCAAAAGAGACGAGAAGGTAGAGGGATTTAAGAAGTTCAGTAGCTTAAAATACACATAGAAAAGTTGAATTGCATGTGCAAAAAAAAGGTGGAGACATGCTTGACATTTGCAGTCTAGCAGCAATGAGTCATTCTCTTTTACCACATGCAACGGGTTTAAGTTTGTCAAGCAATAGGTGTGCTTGAAGCATTTCAGACTTCTGATCACACCAAACTTGCATAATTCTTTGAAGGAAAAATATATGATATAAAAATATAAAATTAAGATAACAATCTGTTGTAATATTATAAAGTATATATTTTGTAGCACAAACTTTAACACAGCTGCCAGCTAAAATGATTTAGACTTATTCAGACTTACAATCTTGTTTCATTCCAAACGCTATGCATCTCTGCAGCCTACAGTACTGACATCGATTCCGGTGGTGTTTGTTGATAACACAGTCTTTTGTTCCTCGGCATGAATAAACCAAATTCTTGCGTATACTCCTTTTAAAAAATCCTTTGCACCCCTCACAAGTTACTGCTCCGTAGTGACGCCCTATTTACAAAACAACAGGAATCATGACATTAGTTTTACATTGTAATACCTCTTCTTTACAGTTTTTCTTTACTCTTATTTTTCCCCGTAGGTTACAGATCTTAAAATACAACTTGTGGCTATAGAACAACACAAAAATGTAAGTGAAACACATTTCTGGTTTAGAGCACTTCAACAGGATACATTTTTCAAACAGGCAAATAACCAAGAGCTTATTAATTTCTTGCTGAATCTGTTGACGGCAGTTGGCACTCCACTTCTTGCCACACGGGAGGCTCCCCAGCACCTACAGCTGCACAGGGAAATATGGCACTGTCCCCACATTCACTACCAGGGCTCAGTGTCCATGGGAAGGCCAGGATGAGCAGCACCTGGGATCAGCAGCCTCTCAAGGTATGCTCCAGTCCTCCACTGGGGACCCAGAGCTGTCCTCCCAGGTGAAGCAGGCCAACCAGATCACCTTACGTTTGTTTGGCATAAATTTCCTTTGATGTGGGTGAAATCTGACATACATTTAGAGTTCTAGGAACTATAATTCTTATGCTAAATTTGGCTGCAGTAGAAATGTTAGGCGATTTCATTTTCTAGGCAGTTTGCTCTACATCCTACTACCTTTCATGACGAAATCCTACTGTTAACTACTTCCCTCCTCTGCCCTGCATTTTCATACACTCTATTTCTGTCACTTTCAAAAAGGAGTATTTAATTGCAGTTCCCATATGTTGATGTTATTGGAGGTCCATTACACAGATTTCAATCAGACAAACCACAAGAATCTTCTGAAGGAGCCATCATTTCCCTACTTAGTCTAATTTTACCTAACTAACTACACTCTTCTTAAGTTGATTTTTAACTGGAACTATAGTGCATTTGTACAGTTTTAATCATGGTTCTTCAAATAACTAACTGTCCCACATAAACCTAAGGTCAGCAGGTTTGTTTTTTCAGATACCTACAGTGTCTTCCTTGCCTACTGGTTTCATATTTTAGATAACAAACAGTTTTCTCTTCTATTTTAAGAGAATCTGACAACAATAACATAGTCAGTTCACTGCATGACCTTCTTTTAAGAAAAAAAAATCTTACGAGCAAGTCACTTAAGTTATTCTGTCAGTCAATTTTTATAATCCAAATTAAAATGCATTAGCCTAAGAAAGAAGGGCAAAAATTATCTAGTAGGAAACATATTTAATTTTTGATGTAAAACAGCAATAAACAAGTCCCGCCCACAGACCCTGGAATAAAATTTAGTGTAACTATCTGCTACAAAAAAAAGAGTGTATCTTTCCTGATTGTGTATAATATATGCAAAGCATTACGTAGCTTAAGAAGAATTTTAAACTGCTTTTATAAAATTGTACTACCTTGAAAAAAGTTAAATACCTGATGCCTTGTCTCCACATACAACACACAGATCAAACACTTTATTTAGGGCCTGTTCATTGGGAGAGTTGTCTGTTAAAATCTGGAAGAAAATAGGAAAGAATTTCATTTTTCTTTTTCTTACCATCAAGAAAGATTAAAATAAATCTCATGCTTGTGGATTTCTTCTAAGATAAGGGACTAAATCTACAAATTCTGAACTTTTCTTGAGTACATTTTACAGTCCTCATAGACAAAAAGGAGCTGAGCTACCTGCCATGTCACTGAGCTCCTAATCAGGACACAATGAAGTATTACTTGTAATACTTTCAGTAAGATTTCAAGATTTTGTTTTATCTAAGTATTACCTCTGCAGAATAGACTGATGTTTTGAAAAACATTTATCATCTGTATACTCATTTTGTTGAACACATACCTTTTGTTGAATTTTGGATTTACAGTGTAATGACTTGATCATAGTACAAAAGAGGCAAAAGCATTAAACAGAAAAAAAAGCCTTGAAAGGGCTGTTATTTCTACATTCGTAATTGTTGATTCATTTTTACAATACACATTTTTAACAATAAATTGGTGAACCAATAGAAAACATATTCTGACCAGTATCATTAATTATCAAGTGGATAGTTTAGCTTTCAGTAACAGTTTGACATTATTTCTGCATTTGTGTCTTGTCTTATTAATTTATTTCTGGAACCTGTAAAGTTTCGTTAAGCACATGTTAGAACCACAGCACTACAGTGCAGGCACTACAGCCTTCTATTTGATCTTTAAGAACTGTAACCCACTGAAATAAATAACATACATTAAAATAAATAAAGAAAGAAATAATCCAAACGATCATGTAAGTGACAACCAAACACCATCTTGACAATAATGTAAAGAAGAAAAGAGAAAATTATTCTTTCCACTAAAAAGTGATATAATTTAGAAGTTTTACAAGTTTCTGACTTCCGCAGTGTCTTAATAGGAATTCAGACACTCTCATTCTTGCTTTGCATATTCAAAAAAGGACCTCTGATAAGATGAAAGATTACTTAGTGAAAGAAGAAAGTACCCTGTCTTCTACAGAGAAAATTAAAAATCACATTTTTCAAAGTTTGGAAACTAGTAGACTTACATATGGGAATGTTTAAGAAGTCTATTTCTTTCTAGTCAGTCTCTGTTAACAGCACTGTCTCAGAGACTTGCCTATTAAGTTTTCTTTTAATATAGCATCTTTTTAAGAAAAATAGTTATGATAGGTTAAAAGAATGTTAACTTTTCGTTCCTTCCTGATTTCCATCATCACCATTATGCATATTCATGACATGATATAAAATATATACAAACAAATTTTAAGTCCTTCCATAGATGAAACCTTCACTGAAACTGGAAGTTCCAGATCAGGAAGGACGACAGAATTTGGCCCAGGAGGAGAATAAAATCCCAGACTCAGAGAACTCATCAACTGACCTTGAATATGTAGAATAAAAATCGATTATTAGAACAAAGAAGAGCCACTGAAGGTGAAGCACATGATGGGAGAAAGGATTTCACAAAATGTGTCAATGTAAAAATGAGATGTAATAAAGGAGAGATTTTCTGTGTAGCAAATGAACAGGCATTTCAAGTGAAGGCTACAGAAAAACGACAAAAAAGACAAAACTGGAGATGAAAGATCATTTAGGAGAGAAAACATGCAAGGGGCCAAAGAATATGAAGTCAAACAACAAATGAATGGTACTCTATATTTCACTGTCTCTCAGTGGAGAACAAAAACAATCTCTGCCACTACATACTAGCTGACAACAGAACAGCCTAACTCAACTAAAAAAATATTTTGTTGCCTCTCAAACTCAGCTACATTGCCAAAATTGCCTAAGCACAACTAGAGCTTTTAATTTTCTGTCCACACTTCCCCTACACCCGAATCTTGTTCTTTAAACCAGTGTGGCACTCTTCTTACCTTTTAAACTTTCTTCTGAAAAAATCTTTCTATTAGGACTACTTCAAATCATATCCCACTGCTTTATATGTCTGTTGAGGACTACCTAAAATAGGAAATGTATGATACCACCACACATGCTGGAATTCCTCTCAGTTGGATTGACTTTTGATACTGCTTGCACATGTGGGTAGTGAATCGGAGCAGTGGCCTGGCTCCTAGAAAAGCAGAAACTAAAAAGATCAGGAGTCTTCACTTGGGAAAACAGATTACTTGAAGAAGGATATGATAGTGATTTGTTAAAAAAAAAAAAATCCATTGTTACTATTTTTACTATGGTTTTTACTGCCATAGGATATTATACTGACCAGAACATAAATGGTCTATCATAAATAACAAGAAAGGTTATTAACTTTAGTGGTAGCTATCAAGTAAGGTCTCACTGCATTCTCCACATCAGGAGGTCCCTCTAAATCATGAAGTAATGGAAATGAAAGGGTACACTCAGAAGAATCAATATTTATGTGTTCAGTTTTTAATACATTTACTCAAGCACCTGTTTCTGGCCATTTTTTAGGTGAAAGATACTGGACTAAATGGACTGTAGCTCTCCTAATGTTGCCTGGCCTGCCACACTGGTGTAATTTAATGGCAGAATAAATGTACATGGGTAAATCTTGATAACTGTGCTTTAGCTGAAGTGCAGTAATCTTCTACTTCATGTAGAAGATCTTGTATCTCCCAGGTCTTCTGGGCATACTCTTCTACCTCTTGGAATCAGTGCTATCACATGCTCGTCTGTTGAGGATATGGGGCAGAAGGCTTGGAAGTTGGAGCATAAGGACTAAGGAAGCAGCACATACAATGTATGGTGGAGTAAAGAGCACTGGGGACCAGTTTAGGGAGTTACAACCCTGACTAGTAACAATCTCACATCATTTGGGTTTTGTAAATGCAGAATCTGTAGTGCTACTTTCCCACTGTCACTCCCTACTAATAGTCTCCCTGAGAAATTGCCTTGGAGTACAATTCACACAGCAGTGAACAGTAGTTACGACAGTGTATGAAAAGGAAAACAAGGAGAAGGAAATGTTAAGTGATGAGGATGAGAGAAAAGATGATTTTTTCAACAATATATGAAAACGGAGAATCAATGAAGTAGCAATAAAGAAGGACTGTTGGTACGTCTAGAAATGACAAAAAAGTAACACTTCTTTCTAATCTCATGAGCCAGGATATAAATGGATATAAATTTTGAAAGCAGTAAGTTCACAAAAAAAATGTGTTCTTCATAATTTCTAAGTATCCACAATGCGTCCTAATGCAAGAAAAAGTATAGCATTAAAAAAAAAAATTGAAAAAGGAGAACCCAGACAGACATACTTGGAAATAAAAACATCTCTTCTTATCCCATTTGAATCAAAAGTATGAAATAAAGTGGATTATCTACCTGGATGTGTTGTGCAGATATATCAGGGGATGCAAAAAACAGTTGGTTGACACCTGCAGCATCTGGAGTTGCTAGGATTACTTTTCCTGGAGTGGAATCTTGTCTGGCAAGGATCACCTTGCTTGGGGTAGAGCCATCATGATTTGTTAAGATGAACTGCTTGCCTGCTGAGCTCTGATCAAGTGCTGTAACAATCTGAATCTTCTGGCCCGTCTGCTGATCTGTGACAATCTAATAATACATTTATCTCAAATTGTTATGGTAATGTAATAACCCTTGGGGCCCATCTGGGCTCTCGAAGAAAACGGGAATTTTGCCTTTGACAACTGTGAAGTAGGATTGTCCTCCCCTCTGTCACACAAGAGTTAAGTAAACTCAGGCAAAACTTTGGATTTTCACTTTCTTTTAAATGCACTTGAGTCACCTTTGTGTTTGAAGTCAAAACCTGAATTCTTTCTTTTTTTTTTTTTTTTTTTACAAAGGGCCCATGCTTTTACAAAACTACCAAAAATCCCTGACAATTCTAGCATCCAGAATTTGAGGTGTCTGTAACTCAGCCCTAGGGCCCATAAGCTTCTGTTAAATCTCTAACCTTTGAATTAGCTGCACACCATGCAAAGTGCTTAGCACCTCCTGTATTTGTATGCTTAAAAAGAAACATCCTAAAACAACAACCATAGACTTCAAAGTGAAAAAAGAAAGCATCAAACAGCAAGAAAAGCAATAATATTTTCACACCACTGTACAAACATTTTATGCTTCATTTTTTTGGGGTCTGTTTTTTACATGTATGTTCCTAAATAAAGTAAGTTAAAATTCTGTTTTCTCTGCCTCTGCCATTTTTTCTTTTTTTTTTTTTTTAAGGAAAAAAAATGATTTTCATGATTCATTACTTACTCAAAATGAGACCTACAGGTTGTTTTTTCCATTTTTTTTCCTATTTTCAAGCACAAACACAGCAGACTTTTATTAAAAAGCTCTCCAGCAAACTCATTTTTTGCCAACTTTGTTAAGAAGATTATAATTCTCTGAGAAAATAATCAAGATTCCATCTATCTTCCACTATAACACTTTTAGTCACTTCTTGCCTTTCTTTCCAAAAGCTTATACCAAGAACTGCCTGGTTTATTCTAGAGATTAAGGAGCACCATTATACAATGACTATTTCCTGCAAACTATTTTTGAATTACAGATCAATCAAATTTGCTGTTAACATTTCAGGCATCTAACTTTTTTTTTCCTTTTTTTTTTTTTCCCTCTGCAAAGCACAATTAAGACCTATTCAGGCTAGAAGACCAGGTAATTATAGAATATCAGAGGCTAAAAATACAAAGCAAACATCAACTACCTTGAGATCTGGGGGGCAGGATAGGAAGATAGGACAAAAACCCCGCAGAAGTTACCAAGATGATAAACACAGTGTTTTCCATTCAATTTTCTAAGATATACACATACCCAGGACCACAAATGACTACAGCAGTCCTTTATTTCTTCTTTCAATTCCTTTATGATTCCTTAAAAGGCAAAACTTCCTTGCCATTTTACATCCCTTCTTCCCTCAACCTTCTCCTTAGATTCCATTTGTCTTCATTTTACAATCTTTATTTTTCTTGTGTCCTTTCTGGCTATTTCCAAAGTAGCTGATGTTCCCTTCCCCTCTCCAAGCACCTCTACTTCACTGGGATTAGAAGAAATCCAATGCATGTGATCCTCAACTGCATGCATAAAGACACAAAAGCCAAACACAGAGTATCGTGCTGTTTCTTGAATACCCAGATGTATTCTTTAAAAGATATGCATCTAAAATCTGTGTCATTATCAAAACCTAAAAGTGCAACTGTATACATCAAAAGAAGGCATATACTTTATCTAGTTGGGTTTATATGAAGTGTAATATAAAGCTAGCTCAAAACCTGAGATTTTCCAGACAGTGAAGATACAAATTTGAGCTAAGGCTGAAATTATTTTTTTGGATATGTATGCTAAACTATCTACTTAGTATTATAGTCCAGACCCTTATGTTTAAAAGGTAGGTATTTTCACTGCGTGATATAGTGCGTACAGTGTAATGTTAATGTCCATACAAAGCTATTCAATTTGCGCAAATGTTCTCTGCAGCTCTCAGGCGTTTGACAACACACAGGCTAACAGAAAGCAGTTCAAACAATTAAGAGCAGTCTGTCTGCAATAAATCCTTATGGGCAGATAGCTGTAAAAACTCCACCTAAATCTCAAAGGGACTTTGGAAGTGGAGCGTTCCACACAAGTATAACAACTTTATAACAACTTCCAGTACCAAAATATTGAGATAAGAGAAAATAATCAGAGGGAAAGAGAAAACTACTTATCTTCTCAAGAAAATACATCAGGGCTCAAAGACAACAAATTATGTTTCTCAATAATCTGAAATTCAGTGTTGCCAAAGAGATCATGCCATAAAGCAGGAATATATTACTTCAGGATTGTCTGCCTAAAAATATATTTCTCCCATGTACTTAAATGTCCTGACGATAACAGAGGATAGTATTTTCTTTCATTTTGTTTATTGACTAGTCTGTTAACAAGTTTTAACAAGTTTTGAGTTTAATTTCAATATCATTTCAATAAATATCTCAATAATTCTCGCTTCCTCTTTTAGGAAAAAAAGGCATGTTTAAACATAAAAGGATGTGTCTACCTGCTGGTTTTGAACAGAAATGTCATTTAACAATGTGGCATTCAACTTTTATTCTATAGAAACTGTACTGGCTTTAGGTGGCAGGGTTTTGGTAGCATGGAGGGTTTTGGAGGTGTGGGGCTGCAGGGGTGGCCTCTGTGAGCAGAGCCCAGCAGCTGCCCCATGTCACATAAGAGCCAGCTCCAGATGGCTCCAAAAGGGAACCACCAATGGCCAAAGCTGAGCCAGTGAGCCATGCTGGTTGCATCTCTGACAGCAGATTTAAGAAAAGGGAAAAATTGCTGCACTACAGCAGTGGGGACAGAGAGGAGTGAGAAGCAGCCCTACAGACACCAAGGTGAGTGCAGCAGGAGGGCAGGAGGTGCTCCAGGCAGGCAGCAGCAGTTCCCCTGCGGCCTGTGGAGAGGCCCCTGGTGGAGCAGGCTGTCCCCCTGCAGCCCATGGGTCCCACATGGAGCAGATCTCCACGCTGCAGGCCCCCCATGGGTGGAGGAGCCCCCGGTGGAGCAGGTGGATGCGGCCTGGAGGAGGCTGCGGCCCATGGAGCAGGCCCCGGGCTGGAGCTGCAGCCCATGGAGAGGAGCCCACGCAGGAGCAAGAGGTCTGGGGGAGCTGCCACCCATGGGGGACCCGTGCTGGAGCAGTTTGCTCCTGGGGGATGGACCCTGTGGTACGGAGCCATATTGAAGGATCCATATTGTCTTTGGGCAGCACCTGCAGGATCAGTTTGTGAAGGACGGCATCCCATGGGAGGGCTCCCATGTGGAGCAGGGCAGAGAGTGACTGTGAAGGAGCAGCAGAGATGAAGTGTTAGGGACTGACCGCAGCCCCTGCTCCCCTGTGCTGTTTGGGCAGAGGAGGCAGAAGATGGTGGATGGGTAGGAAGGTGTTTTTAGGTTGCTTTTAGTTTCCTTCTGCTCTAGTCTGCTCATGATAGGCAATAAATAACATTAAACTCCCTTATGTTGAGTCTGTTTTACCTGTGATGATAAGTGCGGAGAGATCTCCCAGTCCTTATCACAACCCGTGAGCTTTTTTTCGTCTTATTTTCTCCCCCTGTCCTTTTGAGGATAGGGGAGTGAAAGCACAGTGTGGTAGTGCTGAGCTGCCTACCAGCATGACACCACCACTGAGACAAAATGTTAAATTTCCCTAAAATGGGTGACTAGTGAAATATGTTTTAAAGAACAGTTTAAATTTAACATTTACAATTTTTAATGAGGATTTTGTATTTCAAGATTTCAGATAATTTTCTATGTGAAAAAAAAGCAAAAAATATTAACTGAAATGATAAGCTCAAAATGAACCAATCTACTATATTTTTTGAACATTTGACTGAAATGTATTTGTTCATACAACCTATTTTATTTTTCCACCAAAATTCTTCTTTGTGGAAAGTTTTAATTACTAATTTCTATCCCATACCTAATTTCTTACTATTATTTACACTGCTGCCATGTTTGTAGATGCCTGTTGCAGGAAGGATGCTGTTCTACTGAGTGCTGTCTCAAACAAGAGACAACCAATATCTCAAAGCACTCACCATCCATTTTGAAGCAAGAATCAATGAGTGTGGTGACAAAAGACACGGGACAAAGTACCTGGGACAGAAACAAGTGGTACCCCAGCTACCCAAGATGATGAAAAACTATATAAAGGACATTGGAACAAAACTATCCCTAGAAATACAGTTCTTCTATGTTCTTCAGATTTTCAGTAGCTACAGTCCTTATCTGAAAGTAGTTCTCTCTTCCCCCCTATACCCTCTCCAAAAGGGTTTAGACGTCTGCCACTGGCTCTGAATCAACACAACTGTCTTGCCTTTCAAAGGGTCGTGGTTTTATATGTTGTCCTACATGCAGACCCTGATACTGAAATTACATTAAATGTCTTCCCACTACAGCATACAGATACTGATGAAGAAAACAGGATAAAGAGACATGAGTTAACTGAAAGAGACATGAGTTAACTGGTTAATACAAATTAATTAAAGTTACAGCTGTACACAAAGCATAGAAAAGGAGTGGAGGTAGCTGAAAGAATAAAAATCTACTGGATAGATAAGGCTGACACCAGGACTAGAATACAGGCTGTGGTAAAACAAAACAAAAGATCATGTATGGGGGCACTACTGAAGAATCTTGGAAGGTAGGACAAAGCTTGAATGCAATACACTGAAATGGGGAAAAAAAAAAAAACAGGGAAGAATACTGAAGACTGAAGCAGCAAAAGAAAAAGCAACCAAGATTATACTAACAGTTGGCTCACAAACTGGAGTGTTTTTGTGTGCAACAACATGTGTCTGAGAATATTTGTTAAATTTCTGCTGTGGTTAGTATTTTTCTCCAAGAGGAAATTTTAAAATAGAGCATTCGCATGAGTTGGAGATTATTACCTCGCTAGGCTATAAATTAGCTTACTGAGATGTATAACACTGGTTGAAATGGCCCAAACCAGCATCCCTTAACACATTTCTCAGACTTGTATCAACAATATAATGCAGTTATTTCCCCTCATCCCCGCTCCAAATTGTCTCCAACAACTTAGTTGAATTAATGAATCTCAAAAGTTTAAATCTAGAAGTTTTCAAAGAGCAGTATCACTACAGTGTTAGGGGAAAATCTTTATTCTATTCAGCACTTATAATTTTTGTACATCTTAATTTTTTTTAGAGTAAAAAGGAAGAAAGAAAGCATTGGAATAATGTTTTATTTCTATTTATATAAAAACAACCCCTGGCACCCAGGACTGAATATTTACATTCTAGCAAATAACATGAGGCAAATGAAAAAGAACAATACATGAAAATTGGTGGAAATAAATAGCTCATCATTACTTCTAAAATATATTGGATGAAGCATACCTGTATACGTTGTGGTAAAGAGAGGCCTGAATCTGAAGGTACGATCTGTATTCGTTGTGCTGTCCCATCCATTAGTGTTTGTGTAACAGCTCCTTGGGAATGGGTAATCTAGAAAGAACAGACAAATGTAATGGATTGACGATGGATATATTACCTTAAGGACTGATATACTAACTCAGTGGATGAACTACTGTAAAGTTTTACCAACTTCTGACTTCCCTGCACAAGGCTATGGAAAGTCTGACACACTTCCTATATAAGGAATTCAAATGCTTGCAATCTAATTTAATTGCTTAATTTTGCTAGTTAGAAAATTCTGCTCATGACGAGCGTTTTAAAGCTATTTTAAAATACCTTCACTTAGAAATTTAGAAACACTAAGTGAAACAATCAACTGTTGGCAAATCCACTTCAGTCAATTAGATTATTTTCCAAATTATTACTGCTGATGTTCATGTTCTAAACTAAACACAATAGCTTTCATTATAGTTGTGTTACACATAAACTAACATTATTTTTACCTTAATGGCTTACATAAAGTGAATAAAGAAATTTTGGTGTGGAAACACAGCAATTGGCCTTTTTTGTTCTCCTGACCAAAACCAAAGAACTCTACTGGGGAACTACCAAGAATCTTAGAGCAGATCAATGAAATGGACAAATTCAGCAAGCACTGTATCTGAAAACAAATTTAAGCCTCTGCTCTCAGATGGTTTGTGGAAGTGCTTTAATAATTATCACTATTTTTAAAAAATGTCACATACTGTCGCCAAACGTATATAGGTATTATTTGTTAGATTATTTGTTCACAGAAAATGAGAAGTACAGCTGCTACGTACAGAGGCTTGGTTCAAAATGCAGGACTTTTTGTAGTACAAAGGACATTTGTCTTCACAGTGTTTAGATACCCTTCAGACTAAATTTTTTGGCTTACATTCCCTGGGAACTTCCCAAATGTTTTGCAGCATAACTCTTTATACAGATCAAAAAATGTTTCATCCTGCAATTCCTGTCCTACTAATAATTCATAGCCTCTACACCGTTTAAAAATGCTCCTATTCAACTGTGTCTTTTTCCCAATAATTACTAATTTAAGTAATATATACTTCTATGTGCCATAATGTTTCATGACTGGTTGAGAGCTTTTTTCTTCCTCCTGACTTTGCAACCACACTACCATGTAAGTGGTAATGCCAGCACAAGAAAGGCAAGAAGACACAGCTGGAGGTGAGCAAGAGAAGGAGGAAGGAGTGCTAGGCAAGACTTTCCCTTACAGCAGAAATACAAATTCCAGTCAACCTAACCTGCTTTTGCAACTTCACCCCAAACTGCATTACTTTTGGCACCAGCCTCAGCTCTTACAACCTACTTGATTCTGTCCCTTCAGCTTGGTAGGTAAACCTGGTTGTTTAGTCATCCAGTGATCTGGAATAGGATATTGATGCAGGTCAAAACATAGTCCAGCAAAAGAGAAACATAGGCTGCTCTTAGCATAGGTCAAGCCTTCAGTCCAGATTACCACAATGCTCAGAAGCAAATGCATCAGAATAAATGAGACAGCGGGATTAAGCCACTGGAGGGAGGGGGTGCTACTAAAGCTGCCTGCACCATCAAAAGAAATGGTTGTCAAACGAAGACATTTGGAACACTGCTTTCCTAAAAATACTGGATTTTTCAAGAATGTGAACAGTTTTAGTAGTTAAACAATTCATTCACTTTGCTTAAGTAAAGGAGAAAGAAGAGTCAATTGTACATCAAGATTAAAAGTTTGAAGGAGGTACTTTCAAGCACAGAAATGCTGCATTACTCTGTCAAATGACATGCACGATGGGTGACTTACAGGCAATCAGATTTTTATGTGAACTTGTATTAACTGCACAAAATAAGCTATGTGTTCCAGGACTGCTTTACACTTACACAGTGTTGCAATCTACATGTGATATAAAGTAAAACTGCTCATCATCCCCACAAAATATTGTCAGCTTGACAGTTTTGCTTCTATATAGAATAAAGGTTTTTATTGCAGTTTTGTTTAAAATTTGTTTAAAAATATATTTTGTTTGTATATGATAGATTCTGTTTAGAAAAATGTGTAACTTTCCTCTGTTGCTGGTACTTGGCAGATTTGTGGAAAGAAACTGCCACATATCTAGTGTACAGAACCACAGATAAAAGAAAGAAGATTGTTGTGGGTTCTTGACAAATTCCCTACGTGAATTAAGTAATATGACTCTCATGTAGAAATATGAATTATCTCACACTTAGCAAAATCTGATGAGAAGCATGAAAAGATAAACATTGCACAATGCTCCACTTAGGCAAGGCTATACATTCTTTTTTTAATGTTTTGGTTTTATGCAAAAAGAAAGTCCCAAATTGGCAAAAACACATTTTTGTGAAAACAATCATAAAATCATTTGTGATAATTTTGTATTTTGAAATGTTCCATATCAAGGATTAACATTACAAAGAAATCAAAACACTCCATTAGAACTCTCCTGACTATTATATTGCAATAAAACATAGGAGCACTTTACATTTTCTTCAGAATGGGCACACCTGTTGTTTTTCTTTTCATGCTCTACTCATATAAATTTTTCTTATAAATTCAATTTAAACTATTCATTCATTTCAGAGAATTACAAATGCTAGCTACAAGACTGAAGTTCCATAGAGCTTGCAATATGGTTTTCAAAGCTCATATCCAGCATGCACATCACCAAGCTGATTACAGCTTGTAGATCAATAGTGAGAAGGGATGTGAAATACTACATGAAGGCCCCTGTAAGACTGACTTTCCTTGCTGACCCCACCTTTCAGGCAGTGTGCTTCTTTGACAGTAATTTTCACTTATGCAATCCCACCTTGCGCAGCTCTAGGTTATTCTTTTTAGTTCTTTTAACCACATCTGCTTTGTGCCAGACTGGGCTGCACCTTGTACCAGATAAGCAGACTGACCACAGCCCAGAGGAAAAAGAGTCCTCCACTATGCCATATATATATTTTTTTTCCAGTTTTGTCTACCACACAATGACAAAGAGAACTCACGTGAACAAGACTATCATAGCACGAGACTAAGTGGCTAAGTGAGGACTGGGGAATGCTTAAGCCACACCATTGCCAAATAAGAAATGACAATCGCAGGCACAGTAAAACACTAAAACCACTAAAGGACAAATCCTAACCTACATGTTGACAGAAGGATCTCTATGAAAACTGCAAGGCTGCAGTTTCATAAAGAAAGAAACAAGCCAACAGCTCCATGCATACAGATGCAGCAGTATCCCACTTCCTCAGCTTCTTCCTCTGCCTCTCTTCTTCTGGCTACCAGTCATCTCCTTTAGGCTTCAAGCTTCTCTGATCCTACTCAGCTCATTAACTCAGCAGAAAAACTTCCATTTGTATTGGCTGGTGAAGAAACTGACTTATCTGATTACAAAGAAACAGAAAAATGACCTTCCCTTTCCCATTGCAGTGAGACACCAGATAAGCTCACTGTCTCATGGAAATCACATTATGAAATTGAGAACAACTCTCACAGAGGCTAACACTGTCATTTGAACTCATCATCCTCTTTTCCAAGTGGCACACGCATCATCTAGCTTTGACTAATGCACAGTTTCCAAACAAAGAAACAGGAAACACAGCCCTACTTAGGCCTTTTTATTATATTAACAAAATGAAACTATGCTAGATACACCATTCCCACCTGTGAACGCAGAGAGAAAGAAAAACTGATACACCACATACACCATTCATAGCCTTGGAGATAGCCTTAGCAATTCTCAGATGCTACAATAACAAAACCCACAAGAATTTATACAGGATAGATTAACCATCCTGCCCCCCAGCCTTTCTACTTCAATTCATGATGGAGAGGAACAAAAACTACTTGAAAAGTCATTCTATATTGACAAAATATAATGACAAAAAAAGATATTGACAAAAGTAATTCGATATTGACAAGAAACTGAGTGTGAATATTTCAAGCTAAAAATATAATTGTTCTGCTCCTATCTTATTAGAGAAGTGCTACTGATGGAAATTCTAGATAAGCATGTATGTATACAGTTAGCCACACTTGCAAACTATCTGTGCATCTCTGGAAGCTGTCTAGCTGCAGCACACAGATTCTGTACAGTGGTGTACAAAAAAAAACAACAACAACAACAAAAAAACAAGAAAAACAAAGTCTGCAGAAACAAGAATTCGATCTTCCCCCTGACATGCACCAAACACCAACAAATATTTTATAGTGATGAGCATGACAAACCTTTACTTACAAAAAAAACAAATGACAAGTGAAGCAATTGCTTAGTTGTAAAGTAGAAGCTATGCAATGACAACTCCCTTGACTGTACGTGTTTGTAAGTGAAAGTGAGCAAAGCAATTTGCTCAACCAGACAGCTCTCTGCAGACCCCTATAGGCCCAAAAGGCACAGCTGAACAGCTAGTTACTTACTGGAAACACTGCTAGATTTTCTTTAGCTTCATTTCTTTGGGGTAAACTTTGGCCAAGAAAGATTTTGCTGTATAACTTTAAGATGGACACAGTAAGATCTTCTAGTCCTTCCATGGGAGGGTTTCCTGAAGCTTTGGGTATACTAAAACTTATTTTCTCTTGTAACTTTGGTTTTTACTTATTAGTCTGTACATTTTAATATTCAAAGTTTCTTAAATATTTCTCAAAATGTATGTACCTCTCCCATTTGCTGCTCAATAATTTGATGGGCCAGTTCCTCTATGGTTGCCATGATCTTTAATCACCAGAATTTCCTGTCAAAAAAAAAAAGAAAGAAGATGCTTAACATCTCTAATAGTAAAAGTATCTTGGGGAAAATATATTCCAGGTAAGTGAAGCACATTCCTAATTGTCTGAAGGTGACATCCCTGCAGAATTTAAAGCTCAATTATACTATACAATTAGTAATTTATTTTCTATTTGCAAACTTCTTTATCTTTATACTCAACTCACAGAGATGTGTTTTTCTCCTGCTGCTTTCACAAAGAGCAACAAAATAATAAACTCCCTGTGAGAATAAAAGTGTCTAATTGGCCCTGCCATCAGCAGGGACATAATTAACATCTTAAAAACTGGAATTTTGTTGATGCAAAGCAAGGGCAAAACCCATAACTTCTTCTGAATGCATACTAATCCTTTAGTATAACAGGAGCACTTGAAGGTCAATTTTGTAATTAGTATGAGGCCCTACTTGGGAGGCAAAAAATATTTATTCCTAAAAACAGATGTTGGTTAGCCATCAATACTGTAGTAAGAAATCCAAATCCTCATGAGAAGAATTCTGTATGATTTTACAGACACTGCCTTAAAGCAGGATTAAATATTCAGATGTATGCCTTCTTTGTTTGTTTGGGTATCTAGACAGAAATATTTGCCAGGCAGTCTGTAAAAGGAACAGACACAAATTATGAAGCACTATACTTACTTTTCTGAAAAAAAGCTGTAATAAGAACACTATCTTATACAAATCTGTATACAAGTACTCTTAAAGGATTTCTCTATGTACACAATTTACTTTGCTTCAAATATGCAATATGCTTGGGTTATACAGCAGACAGAAGGATGAAGATGTTTAATACCAACATATATACTGCTGCATGAACATATGAATGAATGGTGCCAGTATAAAGGATTTTTTTACACAACACAGATTTATTTATTTTATGTGCAGGAATAGTGTTGTTTAACCATATGAAAAGTGTTGATGAAAGCGGTTATGTATGTAGAAAAACTGTATATATAGCAAATAAAATCAACTGATTTTCACTCTTTTACCCTCCTAGAACTTCTGGGAACTGTCTCCTACCCCAGTGATCTCTAACCTTTCTCAATCAATTTTACAAATAAAAATGTAAATCATTTTGGAGTCACAGAATCACAGAATTTTAGGGGTTGGAAGGGACCTTGAAAGATCATCGGGTCCAACCCCCTGCCAAAGCAGGTTCCTTAGAGCAGGCTGCCCAGGTAGGCGTCCAGACAGGCCTTCCATTCTGCTCTTCTAATTGGAAAGAGAGGTATCTTTTGATTAAGGTAAGAACTGTAGTACTTGGAAGTATATGATGTGGATGGGAAGAGTACAGAAACATTTGGTCCCTGTAGACAATTCTTATTCTCCTGCTAGCATTGTTAGTTAAATTAAAGCAAAAGATGACAGACGTACACAAAAAACATGAGAATGATGCTTATATTGAAAAGCTTTATCTCCTCAGAAGATCTAATACCTAGCAACACCTTTGCAGTAGTACTCTGTTAACCTACTTCTGCATACTGTGAGCTGCAGCACAATCACTATTTAAAGATTTTCAAGTCAGCTAACACTATCAGATGTTTTCTTCCTTTACATAAAATACTAGCAACAAAATATTGCACTGCTTATGCACACTGCACCAGAAATTAGTACAATTTAATTAAAAAAAAAAAGTCTTAAAAGCAAATTAGAGAACCAATTAGTAATAAAGACACACTTTTGGGTAGGACAGATGGACCGTTTGCAGAATTATTTCAGATGAAGAATGTACTGTTCTGTGACAATTTGACATACCAGAACTGTTACACATATAACAATATTTTACCAAAAATTCAGAGTAGAAAATTAAGAGCAAATAAAAATCTGAAATTCTGATTTCATAGCTGACCCTGGTTTGAGTGGGGGTTTGGAATAGACACCTCCTGAGGCCTGTTCCTACCTGGAATATTCTACAATTCAAAAATGTACTAATTTCTTAGTTATGGGAACAATAAGAGTTGATTGCAATTAGGAAAAAAAAATCAAAATATTTTGAAAGCAGTTTGGTTTGAATATTAATTTTTCCCTCTTAACTAAGCGAAGAATCTTTTGACTACCTCGGTGGAGGTCCACTGTGCAGGTGTTTTCAAGGACACAATTCAAGATTACCTTCTTTTAAAGTTCTATTTCACCGAGTGTCTAGTTTAAATAGCTATGCACAAGAAAGCTTATCTTGAACAGTTTAAATGAATTTTATCCACCAATAGCAATTACAAAGGTTAAGTACAAGTGGAAAATACATTTGCTCCTATGTTAGCCTTTTGAGATTGCAGTAAGATTTTCCATTCTACAGTCATTGTCTATAGCATTCTCTGCATTGTTTTCCTGAAGGAAATTCGATTACATCAATATCATTTTCCCATCAGAAAAGCTAGGTCTATAATCCTTCCCGTAACAAAGCATGATTTATGACACTCTCAATTTTTGTCATATCTACCAACAGAGCCTACGGTTACTTTAAGTTTTCTTAATGCTTTTCTGTAGCTCTTCATGTTCTGGCCTGCAGGATTTGCATGTTCCAACAAGAATACTGAATACTAATTACTGCTACAGCTGGTGCACCAGATCAGCAGCACATGGAAATCAACTACACTGCAGAGTGAAAGCTTAATTTATTGTTTGTAAAAAAAATTGTAGTCATAATGAACCTGCACAGAAAGCAGTATCTGGAAAAATAAATTTTACAGAAATTGACTAAGTAAGAAAAAAATCCTACCTATTGTATCTGTGGCACTTCAAAATTATAATTAAAGATTCTCCTTAATGTTCTCTGTCATACAATTACTTTAAGTTAACTTAGCAACACATTAATATTTTTCTCACTAACTCAGTAAATATAGAACGGAGAGATCTGTTATCTCCAAACCTCTGTGGTTACTTTGTCTACTTGTCTTGACAAGGTGGCAAGGTCTTTTCTTTTTAATGTCACAGACTCATTACTGGCCTCTGCAAATCCTTTCTGTCACCAAAAGGGCTAGCCCTAACTACCTCTTGGCCTTGAGCTTCCTGCCTCCCCCTGCTGCCAGCACTGGTGCATCTGTGACTTTACAGCCAGCAACAAAGTTTTATTTTATTCTGTGTTAGTTTGCAGCCCGATGAATGACTTGACTTGTTACATTACCATACAAATCAATTAAGCATCAGTGGTGGAGTGAAATTGGAGGGTCACCGTTTTCCACAGCAAGAGAATTTACATCCACTTAAGCCATCCGAAGTCCTCCCATATCTTCCCGCAGCTCTATGAATTGTTGTGAGATGTGCCTTGGAGTTTTTATTTTTCAATCCTATGGATGAGCCTGGTGAAGAAACAAGAAACAGAGGATGAAAAGAAGCAACATACATCCCCAAGGACAAAAAAGGCAACACTTAGGATGGTGAAGTGGTCCAGTAGCGACTCCTAGTGCTCAAGTTACATAAAGTACTGTAGGATCAGGAGACATGACAGAGATCTATCTTCTTGCCCCACTCTTTTTTCCTAGCAAGGGTAATGCTTCATAATCATGAGAACTGTAATAGTCAAAGTTATTTTTAAAAACAAGGCAAGTAAAGCACTGCATTTATAAAGTTTCAGAGGTAAGGTTATTTACAGCTAACCCTCCTATTGAAATACTCTTTTGCACAGACTTTTTTAGGTGTTATTCTTTCATTTAATAGATACTGATCTTTTCAAGTCCCTACACAGAACTAAATGGTGGCTCATCTTTGCTCAGCACCTGAGTTTTGTTCCACATTTTTGCAGCTTCAATATTACTTCTTAATGCAAATATTTGCTGGGTTTACTTTACAGTGTTACAGAGGTACCTGCCTTGGAGCTTGTATATGCAGAAAAGTTCTATTTTATGAAATCTGAAATGAACAGATTAACAAATAATAAAGAACTCTTATTTAATCATTCTCTGTGTTGCAAACTTCAGTTGACCATGCTCACTACCTTCATATGCATAGAAGAAATACTCTTAAGATTCTGGGAACCTGAATCAAGCATGATACAACACTGCTGAAAGTGGTGAGAAGTCTGTCATCTTGGTTCAAAGGAGAACTGTAACTATTAAAGCACTGTAATATCTTTATCAAACAATCACCAATTATTCAATGTTGTAGGAGCTATTTTTCACTCTATACGATGCAAAGAGAACAAATTTTTATTCTCTTCAGTCACTGATATCCTTAAAATCAACTTTAATGTTGGACTTTACAGTTCAGCTGAATACAGACCAGAACCATAAGCTTATCCCTCGTGTGTCAGGACCATCAAGCAAGCTCTGCAATCTGCCTCCCCTCACCTGAGGGGTCTGGCTGCCAGTGCCCACGGCCAGCCCTACGATGGAGCCCCCCAAGGAGCCCCAGACCAGCTGCTGGGAACTGCTCTGGCATGAGCCATACTGCTGAGCTTACCTCAGCTGAGCAGAGCCCAGCAGCTGCCCTGTGTCACGTAAAGAGCCAGCTCCAGACGGCTCCAAAGCTGAGCCAGTGAGCCATGCTGGATGCACCTCTGACAGCAGATTTAAGAAAAGGAAAAAATTGCTGTGCTACAGCAGTGGGGACAGAGAGGAGTGAGAAGCAGTCCTGCAGCCCCCAAGGCCAGTGCAGAAGGAGGGCAGGAAGTGCTCTAGGCCTCAGAGCTTAAGTTCTGCTGCAGTCTGTGGAGAGGCCCCTGGTGGAGCAGGCTGTCCCCCTGCAGCCCATGGGTCCCACATGGAGCAGATCTCCACGCTGCAGCCCCCCCAGGGGTGGAGGAGCCCCCAGTGGAGCAAGTGGATGTGGCCTGGAGGAGGCTGCGGCCCATGGAGAGCCCCCACAGGAGCAGGGGTTGGGGAGGAAGGTGTTTTCAGTTTGCTTTAGTTCTCAGTGCTCCAGTACGTTTTGCTTGTGACAATAACCAGTGAGCGATCTCCCTGTCCTTATCTTCACCCATGAGCTTTCTTCATATTTTCTTCCCGTGTGTTTTTGAGGAGGGGGAGCTACAGAGTGGTGCTGTGGTCTTAGCTACCTACTGGTGTTAAACCACCACTGCTGCAGGCTCTGAACAAGCAGCTTAATTACTGAGCTATGTATATGCAAAATGCTATGTACTTGTGAGGAGGAGAACTCCCACTAGCGTTAGAGGCTGTATTTAACATAAGAGGTGTTGACTGGATCCTGAAAAAGACACGTCTTCGGGGTAGCAAACTCTTTGGGAGGGTGGCAGGAGTTCCTATCAATTTCTCTTTGTTGACTGAGTTCCAAGAAGAGAGCATTTGAAATACTTGATAAGCAAAGGTGATGATTTGGTGTGGATGTCTCTATTTAAATGTATGTCACCTCAGATAATGTGAAGCGTGGACTTTATGTTTTTGGCCATACTGTCAAATACCAAGAGCATGGCGAGAGTTTGCATAAGTTACAACACAATTCTGTACAGGTGCTAACACCTGTCTGTAACAGGATCCCTCTCTTGTGAGGAGGATGAAAGGCTGTAAGAGAGAGGTATTTTTACATTATTAATTCAGTGTTGTCAAACAGAGCTAATAAAATATTGAAAATACTCAGCTCCCTCAAATCCATAATTAGCCATAGGCTTCCTTTATTCCTGGCACTATAAGCAACAGAAGTATACATGTACTCTGTTTTAAGAGCAGGAGAAGAGGTTCTCTAAAAGAGATTCTGTCTTGATGGGTTATTTTGGCAGGAATTCTAATTTGCAGATGATAAAAAAGTAGGAAGTAATTTGGAATAGAATCGTGTGTTATGCAATCACAACCACCACGATGCACTCAACTGTAGCAGTACAGTCTAAACGCCCTAACAATGAGCAAAATTGAAGAAAAGCCAAGGGACAGTGGTAAGAAAATCCTTTGACAAATTGTTTAAAAACCAAACTGCTTTAAAGGTGATGGTTTTTAAACATAAAACTAATGAAATTACAATAGACATTAAGAGCCTGACTATGTTACTGTTCCTTACACAACTGATGCTGCTATCTTTTCCCACTCAGAAGAATTTTAATGGTCCAAAAGATTTTATTTGTGATGTGATTCTTCAGAACGAAGAAAGAGAAATCTGTGCTTACAAGAGTTTTCAAACCCAGCTTTTTCTAGACTTCAGGAATGTCATGTGTCCATTCAAAACTTTGAAGAAGGTTTTTCTCAACAACTATAATCTTTAGAGAATGACTTGCAAACAGTACAGCTCTCAGAAAATAAATAAATAAATAAATAAATAAAGCCTAACAAACTCTTAAGTGTCCATAATTAAGGGTCTCAACCACCACACAAGGACAGCTTTTAAGAATGCTGGTTTTAACATTAATGCTTCCTCGTACATCTTATAGTACATCTAAAAAAAAACACCACATCCATATATTCTTTTACCAACAAGTGATTTTATAAATATTGCAAAAATAAGGAGGAAACTTTTCTTGAAACTACATAAATTCTTGATCATACTCACAAATTCACCAGCTATGAGCTTGAAGTATAAATCCTACATGCACCTGTCACTGTTTCGGCTAGGATAGAGTTATTTTTCTTCATAGAGGCTCACACAGTGCTGTGTTTGGGATTTTTGATGAGAATAGTGGTGATAACACATGGATGGTTTCAGTCGTTGCAGAGCAGTGCTCGCACAAAGCCAAGGCTGTTCCTGCTCCTCGCGCTGCCCTGCCAGTGAGGGGCTGGGAGGGGACACAGCCAGGACAGCTGGCCCAGGCTGACCAGAGGGGTGTCCCACACCGTGTGGCATCATGCTCAGCAATAGAGCTGGGGTAGAGAAGGAGGAAGGGGGGATGCTGGCAGTGATGGCGTTTGTCTTCCCAAGGAACCGCTCTGCGTGACGAGCCCTGCTTGCCTGGAAGTGGCTGAGCACCTGCCGGCCGATGGGAAGCAGCGAATGGGTTCCTTGGTTTGCTTTGCTTGTGCACGGCTTCTGCTTTACCCACTGAACTGTCCTGATCTCAACCCATGAGTTCTCGCACTTTTACCTTCCCGATTCTCTCCCCCATCCCACCAAGGGACAGTGAGCGAGCAGCTGTGTAGGGCTGAGCTGCCTGCTGGGGCTAAACCACAACACAACAGTCCTTCTTGGCACCCAATGTGGGGGCCAAAGGGTTTGAGATGATTGACAGATATGATTTCAGTGTGGAGTGTGCTAGATCAAATTTATACATGTTACAGCTGTTAGGCTGCTAATTGGCAGACTCCTGTGCTTGCTATGGGGCCTGCTTGCCTTCCTGTATGCCAGAATCCAGTGCTTATTAGTGTCCGCTTTTCCTTCTGCCATTTGCTCTGCTCCTTATCATTTTGGTTTGCTGCTGCAGTGGACAGGCTGGAACTCTGAACTGAAGGCAAGTCAGAGGGGCTGTGACCTGTGAATGAATCCACATGGGAGTACATACACCCTGAGGCATCTGTGGCCACAGCTAAGTCCACTCCAGAGCAAAGTACACCTTGAGGAATCTGTGGCCATGGAGGAGTCCTGTGCTGCAGCAGGCACACCTTGTAGTCTCCATGTCCGTGAACAAGGCCATGCCACAATACCTCGAAGCGGCTGTGGCCGTGAATAAGAGCACAACACAGCAGGTGTCTGATGGGGCTGTGGGCAATGGAAAAGGCTGCACCAGGGCAGGTACACCTGGAGGTGATTGTGGCTGTGGATAAATCTATACAGCAGCAGACACACCTCTGAAGAGGCTGTGGCCTGCTAATAAGTCCACAGCAGAACAGACAGACCTCAAAGAATCTGTGGCCATGGGTAAGTCCACAAAACAGTAGCTAAACCTCAAAGGTTTATAGCAGGAACCCCTTGCTGCTAGCCAAGCCAGGAGAAAGAGAAGGACTTCACTGCAACTATTCTGGCCTGCAGGAATGAGGGGTGGCTCTTGACAACTTAGAGCAGATGACAGCCCTGAAATGTACATAGGTAATCAGTAAAAACATCAAGTAAACCACCTTTGACACATAGTGGTTATAATCCATACACAGGGAGCAGCTGCCTAGAAAATGTTACATGAAAATATGACAGCTACAATTGCAACAGCAGGAGGTGCGTGCATACATGTGCATGTATTTTTTTTTATATTCTTGGCATATCTTCACAATTACAAAAAATCCTCAACACACTAAGAGGGTTCATTTCTAGATACATTTCAAATTAGTACCAAGTGATAACTTACATCATGAAAGAGCTATGAAATAGTTTTTTTTAAATTAGTATTTACAACTATAATTTATGCATTGGTAGAGTATACTTTTTCTGCATTTTCATGCACTTGTAAGAACTCGACAATTTGAAGCCTCTTTTGATGCAACAATCATCCTCT